AATGAGAAATATTCTATTTAAAAATAAAGGAAGGGGAACAGTATTGTTCAAAATGTCAATGTTATTAAAAAACGAAGGCTGTGAAAATAATTCAGGCCAGAGAGGCTTAAGAGACATAGAAAAGAAATGTAATAAATGATTCTGGACTGGCTTCTGGAAGGGTAGGGTGGAAGGATTCTATAAAGGACATTATTGAGTAACTGAAAAAGTGAAAGATGTGATATAACTTAAAGGATTACATCCATGCAAATTTATAAAGTTGATGATTATACAATGACATGCTCATGTAAGAATATGAGGAAGGACCCCCCCAAAATGGAATTTGTTGATAGAAAATTGTGTATTAATTTTTTACATGTTTAAACTTCAGTTACCTTCAAAGTGCTCGCCATCTGATGCAATACACCTATTGAGACTTTTTTCCCACTGCTCAAAACAGTTTTTGAACTTGTCAATTTTGATGTCTTTTTGTGCTTGTTTCATTTTTTGTATCACCTCTTCCATGTCAGCAGATCATTTCCCTTTGAAGACTTTCATCCGGGGGAACGACAAAAGTCACTCAGGGCAAGATAAGGTAAATAAGGAGGGTGGGGCACATGGGTCATGCTGTTTTTGGTCAAAAACTGCTCAACATTTGTGGAGAGGTGTGCTTATAGATCACCCAACATGAAATGGACAAATGCGTTGAGTCTTCAAAAAAAAATGCACTGAAGCTAAACGCAGCCTCTCACAACACCACCAGCTAGTACACTGATACAGATGGGTTCCTAGAACACTCCCCCAGCTGGGGAAGCCTCTACTACAATGGGGCCCATGCTTCTCCGGGTTTTTTTAGGTCTCCCCTTGTATATCAAGATTTTTAGAAAATGCACACTGACTTATCTAGGGATAAAGGACCACAACTACATATGTAACTTATTTTAATAGAGATCAAAAATAATTATTTACCTATACAGGTATTCATAGAATTATTGTACATATATATATACACACACATATATTAGAAGAATGACAGGAGGAGACAGAGGGATAAAGCAAATTGGCTTAAGTTATTTATACTGATGAATCTGAGAAAACTATATATGATTTTTCTTCATACTATTTGTATTATTAAATTTTTTAAAATTGAAACTATTTTCAAATTATAAAAAAATCTAGATCTGAAGAGAAAGCATTCCTCTATTTGTAATCTCTGCTATCAGAGGACACAACAAAACATTCCTGCATGTGTGAGACTTTCAAAATGAAGCTAATGGTGAAAACTAAAAGGAACTCACATGCTCAGTCGAAAAAATCGGGTTTCCTATTTTTTAGACTTCAAATTCAAATGCAACTTCAGGCATTTTGAATCTTTGGATTCCAACCGTGTCACAGAACTTTGTCACTCTTTGTCCTTTGTGTTTTCCCTTATCTTTATCCTTTCAGATACTTACAATCCCTGTGGTAATGCAGGAAGTCCCCCACTACCTCCTAAATTTAAGTAATCCATATTACAACTAGTGATTTCAATGAAAAGATCCAGCATTTTTCCTACTAAGTCCAGAAAAATAAAAATTAACAAAACTAAAACCAAAAAAAAAGAGATTCTATAGGTTTTCAATGGCTTTTCTTGAACTGAACACCAAGAATTAATCACCATGGGGAGTCTGTTGCAGTGATCTGACCTACTAGGCCTGAGTCACATGACTACCTATGATTCATGGGGGTGGGGGCAGGGTGTAGGTTGTCAATTACACACAAACCACATGATTGAGAGATGAAAGAAGGCTAGTTTCCAAAAGAAAATGAAGAGTTCTGTTACTATATTAAAATAGGCGAACAATAAAAACAAAATGCCATGATCATTATCCAAAGAGGTTTACTACCCTATCAAACTCTAAGGTCCCCTACGCCTGTAACACCTTTCCTCATAGCTGTGTCTTTTGTCCAGTTTGAGAGAGAGCCTCTGTGTTACAAGGCGGCACACAGCAAGAGCTCACGGTCTACTTACCTGTTCCACAGAGACCCACTCTGTGAACACAGTTGCTGGGGAGCTACAGGGCCAGCACTGCAGGAGCTGAGCAGTAGGCCAACCATTAACTAACTCCGCAGGCGGAGGCACTTGAATACTTCTTCCCTGTGAAATGTGACATTCATGAATTCATACGCAGTCTGAAATTTTTCTTCTTAAATTGGCAATGTATAAAACCCAAGCTCCTGGATGAGACCTGCATGGAGTTTGTATTTAAAATTGTATTGATTTTAATGTGTACCTGTATTACACTTACCAAAAGTGTGCATTATACACAGCATAATACAGTATGACACATGAATGTGTAATATATAACTACTTAATATGCATTCAACATACATTGAAACGACCAAATATTCATGAATAAATATTCATAGGCTACCAGAAAAACAGAATGTATTTGTCAAGGGAGGTGATATTCTTTGTTAGGGATGGATTATGATATTTATCTCAATATTGCAAGGATATAAATTAACTTTTTAAAAATTTTTTTAATTTAATGTTAATATAATACTTGTCAGGTAAGAAGTGAAAAAGAAATTCTTATAAAACCTGTTATTTTCTGACAGCAATGCTAAAGACTTGTTTCTCTGCTAACTAGTAAAATTATTTTCTGAAAGAAGAAACACAAACTCTTAACTAGTAATGCAATAATGTGTTTCCTTTACTTTTCACAAAATAGCACTAAAATGAAACCTGCATCCAAATGCCAAAATCATACAATGATAATCCATGGCTTTATAAATATGATTGTCCAAATATAAAAGTGTTTTAGGTCACTATTCATGCAGAATCAGGGTGACAAAATTATTATTTCCATTTCCAATAAAATTCTCTTTTGCTTCAAACAGTTCATGTCAAGTCCCCTAAGTAGAGGGTATAAGCAGTAAAACAAACAAAAAATAAAATAAACATAAAAATTCCATATTAAAAAAAAATGGGGGCAAATCCTCCCACTCCACATGTAGGGACACATTTATTTTTCCTCTATAACCACAAAACATATGTACAGGAGTAGACAAACATAGGTTTACAGTTATGAGTACACAAAACAGAGTTTATTCTTTTGAGTTAATAAAACTATTGTAATAATCACAACCTGCTTGTCTTTTTCCATACAAACAACTGTAAACCTACTTTTGCCCAACCCTGTATATCTTACTTTCTCCTTTTTTGTCAAGCCCTGGAACAATAAATGGAAATATTTGTAGATCTGGGGAAGTTTGATGCAAGTCATCAAGTTTAGGTATTTTTCTAGTGCTTTCCATATTTTAACATCTCATTTATATTTTACCTCCATGTCCATCTGTGTCTCTACAGGACTTCAAGATGGTCACTAATCACTTCTCAGACAGGCGATCAAGGTGAAAAGGGAAGGATAGAAAAAGTCTAAGAGTTTTGGTACACATGGAATGATGGGATTAAATCATTTTAATTTGTTAAGTATTTGTTTTCCTAGCCTTGCCAATTACATACTATGTTCAAAGTCCTCTTGTGGCTAAAGGATTCGTTTGCTGAGCCAAAAGATACTGGGCTACTTTGTGCAGAAAGGAGCACTGATTATAACAGGATGGTTACCATCTATACACTGGTAGATGACTCATGAGGCGGACTGTCAGGACGAGTTCTCCCCAGTAATCAGAACAATGGCAATTAGCGTTGTCAAATAATAGACTGGTTCCTTCTGGGATCTTGATTGGAGAGTGGAGGATACTGGGCAGTTAAAAATGGCAAGTAGAGGAGAAAAGGTAACAAGAAATAAGAGAAAGGCTAAAAAGGGATTTGCAGACCCACAGGGAATAACAATAAACAGGCATGGATAGGCAAGGAATTGTGGACAAATGGAAAAATACATTCAAGTTATGGAGCTGCTTAGTTTGTTTCAGAAACTTACACTAGTTAGGACTTGTGTAGGCATGAAATGAACATCGGAGTTCAGTTTCAGTATTTGCTGCTTTTATTCAAATTGATACAATTTTCTAAGACTAAAGTACACAGATTTTGACCTGATTGTCAGAGGAAATCTACGATTAAAAAAAAATATATTGATCATTCCTATTGCAAACTGTCTTCTGGCACAAAGCTTTAAAAGTATTTAGGTTACTATGTACAAGTCTGTATAAATGTCCCTAGGGGACAGCTCATCTGTGCAAAAGGATATTTTATACTAGAGCAGAGAACAATTACCTCTTGGTATATGAGATATTTTAACAGTTATATTTGAATAATTATTCTCTTTATTAATTTTTGATTTTGCTTATCCAGAATCTTTATTGAACCCAAATCCCAATCAATAGAGTACTAGTTGAATTAATAATGTTCTACCTAGAAAGTTAAAGACTATATAACCATTAAAGTAAATAAATCTATCTGGCTTTGCATAGAAAAATGTCCAAGATTGATTGTCAAATAAAAATAAATTTGTGGAAAGGGTTTAGAGTAGATACACAATTTTGAAAAAAATAAGTGTGTGTGTATATATATATATATATATATATATAAAAATATGTACATGTGTTTCTATAAAAACTAAGTCTGGAAGGCTGTACCCCAAATTGTTAAAGTAATTACCATTCAGAAGTAAATTTAAAAGATTTTTAAAAAAATGTATACAGTTACCTACTGGGTGAAATTTTCATTAAAAACATGCCATACTTCTACATGCAAAACCAAAATTTTAAAAATGACATGTATAATAAGTTTGTGAACTATATAAGTAAGCCCAAAATTAATATTCAGGGCTCCTCACAATTTGGCCCCTGCCAGTATTTCTGCCTTGTTGCTCACTTCATTATGGTGAGGGTGAGATAAGATGGCCTCCAAAATTATTTGCAACTTACTTTTGTGGTTTATTAATTCTGTTTTGGCCAAAATGATCTCCCTCTTTCTTGAATGTGCCTCCTGTGAGTGTGTGGTGACCTCTCTGAACACCTCCATTCACAGGGATGAACCTGGCTCCTTTATTTTATTATTTTTCTTTTTTTTTTTTCAGGGAAGAGCACAAACACAGTCCCCCACTACCACAAATTATGCAAGCAAGTTTCCCACATTTGGGGAGATTTCAGGGGGTCAGCACATCTGTAGTGCAATGGGGAAGTTTCACCCTGGGAAAACTACCTTCGTGATCATGTATCTCCCCTGCCAGGTAAGTATGGGCGCCTTTAAATACCACCAGGTGCCTTCCATCTTTCATCATGTTTTCACATATCTAACGCTCCTGCCAACCGATGTTGAGAACAGAGTTTTCTGAACTTCAGGGATTGTGTGTCCTGTCATAGTTTTTGCCAAACCCATGTGCAACCTGTAATATCACGTAATTTATTTGGATTGCTCCATATTTTCTGTAGTGTTTTTATAAGGATAACTTTATACAATTATGAAATGAAACCAATGATATGTTGAGTCAGTTTTGAATTTACTTTAATGGCTATTAGAAAAAAACTATTTAAATATCTCACATACTAAGAATGATGATTATTTTCTGATCTGTGATAACATATCAATGATTCTGATACCAGTTCTGATGTGTGGTTTTTACCCCCCAAAAAGAAATTCTCTGACACCAGCTGGGTATCCTATAATTCAACTTATTTCTTATACTTTCTACCTGGAGATAGAAAGTGTCATATCTCACAGGTTACAGGCTCAGTCCTACAAAACTGCCCCCAATGCCAATTCAGGTGCCAAGTGCAAGTCCAGGCTGTCACCAATACTTCTGACCAATAGGCTATGTATCAGTGGTTCCAATGACACCCTTCTTGGATTTGATTATATTGCTAGAGTGGCTTACAGAGCTCAGAGAAACAGTAACTTCATAGATCACTGGTTTATCATAAAAGGAATAGCCAGGTGGAAGAACGAGGTATGGAGAAAGGGCACAGGGCTTCCACTCTCTCTGGGTGCATGATTCTCTCTGAATCTCCACATGTTAACCAACCTGAAAGCTCTCCAAACTGCATACTTCGATTTTTTATGGAGGCTTTATTATTACATAGGCATGATTGATTAAGTTATTAATCATTGACAATTGATTAAACCTCCCGGCCCCTCTATTATTCCCAGAGATGGGTGGGGGAGCACATGGGTCTATGTTGAGGACTGGGGTTTTGGAGGGTACAGTTTAGGAAGAGACTGGATTTTGGAGGGAACAGGAAGCAGTTTGGAGATAGCCTTCCGGAGGTTCCCAGTCTCAGCATACATTCCCATATGCATTCATGTCATAAATCCAATAGCTGTTGGATTATGGGCCTGTACAATAAGGATGTCAGTAATAGCCGCAACAGACTGTAATGTGAAGCCATTTTTCTATAAATGTCCTAAATTATGGTGGAAACATGGAAAATAATATGCCCAATAATGGCAAAGATTGGAATTTTCCACCAGCCCAATAGGCTTTTGAGGCTAAGACTTTAATATAATTTAATTAAATGAAATTAAATATTAATTGAAAATTGATCATTCTTATATACACTGTAAAGCTAGATTCACAGGGTTCACCAGAGGTATTGGGTGCTTTTATAGGCTTATTTTGTTCATGTCAAACTGTGATATGAGCCTCCTAATGATTCAGAAGACAGTTTAATATTTAATAATCTGAGCTCCAGGATCCATCACTTGTCATCTTATAGCCACTCATTGGAGGAAATGTGAATGGCTTTTTACTAGGCTTCATTCAAGGGTGAGTCTTAAAAAGTTCTGGAAACATAAACAGTACGAATTACACTGCAAATAGTGCAGAACGAACACACACTAAATAGTAAACTAGAAATAATTTGAAAGAGTGAATGTGCTCATTTTGAATTAAAAATTCTAAACACAGTGATGGACGGGAGAACAGCAAGTGAAACATCGTTTCGTCACCATAGACTCCCTAATGAAGCATAAACCTTAATTTTGTTGCAAGGATGAAAGTAAGACTATTCTCCCTTAATGGGAGCAGCAGACCAAAGGTGTTTAATCATCTCTTCCAAGAGTAAAATCACTGGTGGTAAAGTCACCTCATCATCCTTATGAAGGTTAGTTTCATTTACACAAATGTAAAGCTACCCTTGACAAACTGGCTCTTTTTTAAATTTCATTAAATGCCAGATTTTGCTCATTCAGCTCACCTCAGGCTATACACATTTCGCTTCCATGAGTATTCTGGGAGGACAGTCTCTGTTATTTGCCAATATCCCAGCCAACATCCACATAATAAAATGCAATCACCATGTAACATGGGCTGAAAAACAATCCATCCTGTGTTTAGTAAGTAACATTAGCATGCCCTTAAAAACACTAATAACAAGTTTAATTACTATTCATCTTAGTGTGAATGGCAGCTATCCAAAACATAACCTCTTACTAAGTTCATTTTAGTGAAAGCTGAAAATGACAAAATAATGACTATAATTGTGAGTTACATCCAGAAGTCAGACTTAATATTATAACATTAACTCAGAAGATAAACATCTTTTTTTTCTGATTGCAATTTTTTAGAAACCCCTTTTTTCTTACCTTGGCTTTCAAACTGATATTGTCTTCAAATTAATGTTGATTGTTTTATTTTAATTGTGATTAAATGTTCTGGACCAAATTCCAACGTCTGTGTGTGTGTGTTGGTTTGGAGAACAGGACCAATAAAATAGTGTTGGTCTGGTCAAGATAGCATAAAGTATATAAAACAAAATGGGGTCACTAATATCAATGAAGAGGGCTGCCAGCCAGCCATGACACTTTGGTCCCAGAGGGAGACTACCTAAGTCATGCTAGACACGTCTGGCAGGGAAACGCACTGAAGATATCTGCACACGTGATCAGAACAGCCATGTCTGCAGAGCGGGACCACCCATAGATAGGCTCCTGGGGAAGTTCTCTACTTGCCATCAAGGGTGCCAAGACACTTATCAAGAGACCCAGAAGGGTAGATTTTGATCATAACTAAAGTCCTCAGTTATACCAGTTTTTAAGGTAAAACCGAGGCAGGCTCCAGACCACTGCTGAGACCGTTGAGCTCCACACACCAGAATGCTGCTCCACACCACGCTGATCTCCCTTTGCATCAGCTGCAGAGGCTCTGCCCTGCTGAACTGAGGACTTCCTCTACCCGGCTGACCACCTTGTTTTGGAGATCCTTCCCTGCAAGATGCTGACAACTCCCCTGCCCATCGTGCTATCTCCTGGACCTGCAGACTGAGACTCTGGGACTTGGGTTCATTATTCCCCATTGATTGCTGTATTTGTGTTATTGTTCTCTTAGATTGTTAGAGTGTGAGTAGGATATTATGTATGTTGATGTTCTACTTTGAGTGAACCTGCATTCAATAAATGCTGACTGAATAGCATAGTTACCTTGTGTGACTCTTGTCTATTCCTTGTTGCTGGGTTGCTCAGTAGGCAGCTAGTGGAGCAGTTGCCTACTCACCATACCACCAAACAATTCTCAGACACCAGCTGGGTGTCCTACAATTTAACTCAACGCTGACACTATATACCTGAATATGGTGTCAGATTCCCCAGGTTAAGTGTTGTCAATGTAATAACATCCAAACCTATAGAAAACATTTATAACAGTTTATTTGAACCAAACTGAGGACATGCCAGAATTGTAGTTTTGCAGTTCTTTTCATATATTTGTAATAAAAGGGAGGAAGTAAGGAAGATTACATGAAATCTATTAGTGATAGATTAAAAAGGCTGAAAAAAGCAAGGTAGGGAAATCCTTATGATTGGATAAAAAGTAAAATGGGAAGATATATTTCTTTTACATTTAACATTCACAGTGAATAGGGATGGTATACAGGTAATAAAATCATGTGCTCCCTTGAGGGTGGTTACTCCTCCTAGGGGACTGAAAAAGAAGATTATTCTGGCATTGGATTTTTTGAAATAAAAAGCCAAAAGTGGGATTGCTGGGTCATAAGGTAGTTCAGGTTTTAATTTCTTAAAGACCCTCCTTACTGCTTTCCATAGTGGCTGTCCCAGTCTACATTCCATCATCAGTGCACAATGGTTCCCTTTTCTCTACATTCTTTTCAAAACTTGTTTGTTGATTTATTGATGATAGCTATTCTGACAGGTGTATGGTGATATCTCATTGGATATTGTGCTAAGTCAAATAAGTCAGACAGAGAAAGACAAATACCATATGATTTAACTTATTTATGGAATCTAAAAAGCAAAGTAGATGAATAAACAAAACAGAAACAAACTCAGATTCAGAGGACAAACTGATGGTTGCCAGATGAGAGGGGGCATAGGAAGTGGGGTGAAAAAATGGAAGGGATAAAAAAGCACAAATTGGCAGTTACAGAATAGTCAGGGGATGTAAAGTACAGCCTAGGGCATATAGTCAATAATATTGTAATAAGTACTTATGGTGCCAGCTGAGTACAGGACTTATTGGGAGTAATCACTTTATAAGCTGTTAAATGTCTAATCACTATGCTGTACACCTAATACTAATACCATATTGAATGTCAACTGTAACTGAAAATAAATTAAATTGAAGTGAGAATGGTACATTAAGTGCAATTGGAGGAAAAAATGCTTAGTTTAGTTTGTTATATCAATGGTGTTTTTTATGGTAACAGCTAGCTATTATTCTAGAAATATGAACTTAGAAGCCTGTTTGTTGTTGTTGTGCTTTTTGTTTTTTTTTTTTTAACTTAGAAGCCTTGATTATAGTGCTACAATTTAGAAAAGGTACTCTAATTGAAAAATGTAGAAGATGATAGAATTTCTTAAGGTAGATAAGTTTTTTAAAGGTAGATAAAAAATATTTAAGAATTTTTTAAAGGTAGAAGTAGTTAGAATCTCTGGCAGAGAAAAACAGATTTCACAAAAATGTAATGGAAAAAGACAACTTTTTATAAGTGCATCTAACTAGAAGGGAAAAGTCAGTGGAGGGAAGCAAGTTCTCCCCTGGTTTTATAGCTGATTAAGGGCTGGGAAGATGTCAGGAAAGATGTAAAATGGTATGCATTCTTCCTTTGTCTCTCAAAAATGCTTTAAAAGTTAAAGTCAAGGCTGCCTTTTGGCTAGGTAAATTAAATTTTTAAATATGACATAGGCTCAGATTTGGATTGATATTATTGACTAGTTCTTTTTCTGATTCATGAAATACCAACATCAGTGTTTGAATATGGCCTATTAGGTTGTAAGGAGGAAAAGTT